ACAACGCTAACTAGTCCAGTTTCCGTATGATGTTTGGACCACAAAATTGCAGCAATAAACAAGTGTGCTAGACTCATTACATAATTTTGCACAAGATTACCACACTATGCAACCACATGCAAATCTAATTAGAGCAACTTATGGTCATTTGAGCTTTGGAGACTCTATCCATTGTAGCACGAAGCTCTGCATTCAGTGGTAGAGCTAGAGGCAAATAGGGAGGTTCCATGGCTCCCCTTTGGATTTGGAGAAATGCCCAAAAATCAATAATATTAGTATGTTAATAATGATATTTAATTCCTTAATTTCAATATCAATTGTCCAATGTGCTATCATTAAACCACAACAAATAATATAAATTAATTTCACCTACTAATATCTACATTTCTACATCTAGTTTATCAAGATGGATAAGAAATGCAAACTATTATAGAAAATCATTAAATTCTAATGATATATAGTTGTAAAGAGAAAATTAGTTCTCATCAATGTATATGCTTGTGAAAATTGATTTGATTTGCTACTGCTAGTTGTTAATGCACAATTTGATAACATATTATGTAGTAAAACGATTGACCAGCCCAGCCTTTCACATAAAGTGAATTGAAATTATGAATGGTTATTTGGTGGGATACATTAAGTGTGAATACATGATAGTTTTGCCGATTCATATAGTTTAGAATAATTTCATAATATAAAATATGAAACTGTATATGTAAAATATTTTATGGCACCTCCTTGAAGAAAATCGGGGCTACACCACTGTCTGCATTCTCAAGCTGCAGCTTCGCAAACATATCGCCAAGTCTTTTCCTCTCCTTGTATAACATAGCTCTAGTATCGTGCCATTCAAAGTAATCACACGCAATGCAGTCAAAAGTGTAATTCTACTTAAAAGAGTTTTGGTGAGCTAGAAGTGTAAAACTGTAAGTTTTTAAGTTTTACATTGTAGATTTTGACTACAGTTATAAGGAAGAAGTGTGATTCTATGTAGAAACGTTACATTGACATAAAAAGGTAAAAGCGTAAGCCTTTAAATTTTAAAGCGCGATTTAACTACATTGATCTCAAGGTTTCGTCTCCTATGTCCACACAACATTGACAGTCGTTCCATCAGCCTCATTTTGATATGGAATGAGCAATGAAAAAAATTACCGAACACAGGGGAATATGAACTAGATGTTGGGATAAATCTACTGCACCTACATATCTTAAATGATGCACCTTATTTCTAATCAATCCAATATGGCACAAACAAAAAATCCGAGCAAATGAACAGTTGGGCTGCATATTCTCACCTGATTGATGTTGTAGCTGTTGGTCTTAGTCGACGCAAGGAGCAAAGAAATTGAAGTTCGCCAGCAGACAGAGGCTGTCGTCCGTGAGTTGCCGATTGACGTCGGAAAGCCTTCTCGACCTATGCTTGCTCAAGGTGAGGTCATGGGAGAAAGACAGAATGAGAGGGAAAGTGATAGAAACCCGTAGTTCTACAATTTGAATATTTGGATTATTTTGTCAGTTTATTGTTCTTTATGACTTGTTGGGATTTATTAAGGGTAATTTGTGGGAGAGTAATAATTTGGGGTAGTATTAGGGAATTATCGGGTTATATAACTATTCTTGTAAGTGGGAATTATCCACTAACCAAAGATTAGACCTAATTTATTTCCCCCTAATCCTCATTCTTCCCTCTCGGCCGAAACCTCCTCCCCTCTCTACCAAGTTGCTGCCATAACTCTTCACTCCTCTATATTCAATTCCCACAATTCCCATCACTTCCATTTCCATTGAGAGATCAATCCCTAGTTGATCCTCTATATTTCATTTTTTGGTTGAAATCCTCTCTATTTCTAATTCCTAGATAGAGCCAAATCTATTGGTTCTATCATATTGGTATTAGATCCTGGTTAAGGGCTGAGTATGTTACGACTCTAGACCAAGGACGATCCAAAATGAACAATGGTGGGAACCAAATCGCAGACTGCTGCCTAGAAAGCCGCACAAGAGAAGACTGTTACTGGAGCACCGACGACCAAGCAAGGCAACAGCAGAGAGGTGCCCGACGTTGTTGTCATGCTGGCGAAGAGCGCGTGGAGAGGAAACCATCGTCACAGACGGCAAAGGCGAGATAGGACAGAGTGGTGGTTGATGAAACGAAGGAGGAAGATATGAAGACCACCATGAAGAGGCTACTGGCGGCACAGCCACGAGAGCAGAAGGCTCGAATGGCGGACTTGAAGGACATTGCCGGGGGGGGGGGGGGGGGATATTGGGCGACTTTAAGGAGGTTCTTGCTAACCTTCAAGGAAAGCTGTTGGCCCAGGAGACCGCGAGGAACCTCAGAAGTGTCAAGGGGCGATAGTGGCGTCGTAGGACGGGGTGGTGGTGCTGGCAACGAGTGTCGCAGTGGCAGGAGGTGTGGCGGTCGACCTCGGCCGAGGGGGAGGGGGAGCGTGCGGGCCACTAGGACTAGGTGATGAGTCTGGGCTTTTGTCAATGTCAACGGCCCAAGAAATCGCAACCCTCAAGATCAAGAATAAGATGTCGGGCTACGACAATGGGGCCCAATATCCGGGCTTTGGGTTGCTGAACTCTGCAGCCCAAGAGCCCAAGAAAGAGCGGTTGGGCACCCAAGGGAGCCCAATGGGCTAGGCTGGCTGGGACTAAACCAAGAACCGGAAGAAGACGTGATAAGTCTGGTGGATAGCCAAAAGCCATGTGCCAAGTCGGACCGAGAACAAGGGTGTTGGGGCTATGAGAGGAGATCGGACCAGACCGTGGGGTTCGAGTCGAACTAGGGAGGTCGTACTGAAACCGGTCGGACCGGTACGGGGTGGACCGAACTAGGGTTGACCAGTACCGACTCGAACAGCAGCAGATCGGAGCGTGTCGCAAGGATTTCGACGTCCTAGAAGAGCCCCTATGGTACAACAGACGCTTCCTACCCTTTGTTAAGAGCTCCATGAGCAGCAATGCACCAACCAGACTAGAGGACGGACGCCAAAAGGGGGTCTCAAGGCTGGGAAGGTGGTTACAGGGTATACGCAAGAGGCGAGGGCGACGCTAGGATCCAGGATAGCGAGCCGTGATTCTCGCAAGGCTACCATGGTAGGACTTCGAGCATTGACATGTATGGATCATATCGTCAAAATTTTGATGGAGATGATGACTTAGTCTTTAGTGCCAAACCTCCCACCATTGAATTTCTGGAATTCAATGGTCAAGAGGATGCAAGACTATGGTTATATACAACTGATAGATGATTCATAAACCATCCTACGAGGGAAGAGCGGAAGGCGCATCTGGCGTCCTTCTACTTGGAGAGAGATGTGTTTCAATTGTGGGAATGGTTTGAGAGGTCCTACACTGCAGAAGAGACTTTGATCACCTAACTGATGTTCAAGGAGGAGCTCTACTACCAGTTTGGTAAGTTAGAGGGTTGGGCACCAAAGCAGCTGGCCAAGTTGAAGTAGAGAGGGACCGTAGCAGATTACCAAGCAGAGTTCCTAAAGTTGGGCAGCCAATGCAAAGGGGGTGTTGAGAAAATCCTAGTGGGGCTATGTATGGCGGGCTTGAAGCCTGAGATCACTGCCGCGGTCCGGGTCTTCCAGCCAACTCTTTGAAGATTGCTTTCTATCTTGAAGTTCATAAGGAAGAGGAGATCGCGAGCTAGCGAAGCACCATAGGTCGCTACCATAGGCCTAATGTGATAAAGGCCGAGGCTCTAACTCCTGGATTCAAACAATCAGAAACACAACAAAGATCGATTAGAATCTAACGATCACAAAATGGATTATAACCCAAACCAAATCCAAGAGTCAGGAAGAGGGCCAAGTGATAACACCCAAACACGGTGTTGATTCCACAAACTGAACTTGGAAGCCAAGCTTGGCAACTCATCCAAGAAACCAAGTCGCTAATGACAATTTTAAAACGAAAAGGGATGGAACTCTTATGCAATCCTACACCTGGAGGAAGGCTCAAGGAGTATACGTCGAAGCTCGCCCACGATCAAGGTGGTATTGATCGATACGAGAGCAGATTCGAGCTTGGATTTCTCGACCAAACTCTTCAACCAAAAACTAGCCACGAGACTTAGTTTTTAGGGTTTTCAATTTGTATTCAACTCAACTGAGCTTTACAATACGTTCGTAGGCCTTAAATAGAGGTTATAAACATTCTAGAGTACAAAAGAATCCGAAATAAACAAGTTAAGCCAAAATAGTCCTAATCCTAACACAATACGGAAACTTAAACTGCAAGTAACAAAATGGTGTTGATGCCAACTTTTAGAGCGTCATTCTCCATCCTCCCGATTTCTATTGGATCACCCAACACCTTGTTTCTGTACTAGAAAATGCTAGCTTTCGTGTGAGCTAAACGTTGGAACCTGATTTCCAGCCGTCCGTCGTCTCCCGGCTTCAAAGTGAGCTTCCCGCAACAGCTCCATGCCTTAGACAAATCCTGGCAGTTTGCCTGTGCTGCCATAGGGTTTTGTGGAGCTTGAAAACACCACTTCTCAGCCTTCTCTCGAGGTCCCAGACATCCCCATTTTTTTATCAACTTGCAAGGTTCATCCCAAACCTTTCCAATATAATTTCTATCATGCCAATCACCCAAACCATGCTCGTAAAGATGGCTACCCGAAACAGTCTCATGACTAAGCCAAAATTCCATGTTCTTCAAGTGAGTAGGAGTAGCTTCATTAGCAATCAACCAAGAATGATGGAAGAGGAATTTTGAGACATATCAGGCCCTCCCTCTTTTAAAAGCTTTGCCCTCAAAGCTGGTTCTTTCCTCCTCTAAAAATCGTCACAAAAATGACCCCAAATAGGATCGTAAATGACTGTTCAGACAACATTTTCTGGAAAACGCAGGCACTGTTCTTCGAGCTGGGAATTGGGGATTCTTGATTCCAGCTTTGCCATCCCAATTCATTGCCTCTTCTTGCTTCGTTCAACCCCCAATTGAGCTCCTGAACCTGTTCCAACCATCGACTAAGCGCTATTGTAGTCGAATTGACGATGTCATTTTTCCCGCCGCCGGCTGAATTCGAATTCTGGAAACCCATAATTTTTTATTTTGATTTGGGCGTTTCGTCCTCACTTGGTGGCCACAATTGAAGCTCTCTAAAGCTTCCTGGGGCTTGACTCGATGAGTGTGCATCAGCCACTTCAGTCGAACTGTCGCCGAACTCGCCAACCCATTCGAACATCTTCTTCGTGCTTAGGGACATTTTCAGGGGAGAATAGGCTCGACTTTAATCCTGCAAAACAAGGACAATCGATTCCAATTGAGCAAGGGAGGAGCTTCCCTGAGTTGGGGGAGTTGCGGCGGCCTCCTTGGATGGTGTTGGATAGCTTCTCCGTGTCCCACCCAATAGACCCTCTCTCCTGCCCTGTCTCGCCGTCGTTGAAGAACAGGGGCTGTTCTAGGAACTTGATCGTCAGAAGGTCGGTCGAGCCAGGGCCTTTAGCATAAATTGAGTGCTCGTCAAGCCGACCATCGTTCTTTCCTCACCTGCCTCATCACAGTTCGCAGCTCGATTTGAAGTGAGTCACAGTTGATCGGAGCGACCCTCCGTTGGGGATAGCGACTTTAGAACAACTTTCTTCCCATCGAGCTTGAGCTTATAGCAATTTGTGCCTACATCATGGACCACTACTCAGTCAAATTGCCATGGCCTCCCAATAGTAGGTGAGCGACTTGCATTGAGGCGACGTCGCACTGAACTTCATCCTTGTAATTACAGATCGAAAATGCCACCCGATCTTGCTTAGTAACTTTGAGTGACCCGTAAACATTGAGCCAGTTGAGATGATGCGGTTCGGGGTGTTTGCTCGTAGATAGCCCCAGCTGCTTGACAGCATCGAGACTGATGACGTTCGTGCAACTACCTCCGTCGATAACCACGGACAAGCAATGGCCATCTACTAAGCAACATGTATGAAAAAGGTTGGTGCGCTGACCTTCTTCCGTCTCAGTGCCCTTTGTCAAGGCTATGAGGTTCATGACAGACAAGAAAGGACCCTTCTACGCTTTGATTTCCTCATCTACGTCATCATCGGAGGAGCTGTCGTCCTTCTTCTTATGTCCACCTTCATCATCAGAGATGTACTCACCATCTCGTAGAATCATGGCCTTAATGCTTGGATTGTAGGGGAGTTAGCTCGGTAGGAACCTCAGCAGCAGGTTTAGCACTTGTAAACCTTCGCCTAATAGAGGATTTTTGCTTCTTTTCCACTCTAATGGGGAGCTGAACTACTTCTTCGAGTTCGACCTCATGACGAATCTCTCGATTCAGTCCGTGGAGGACACTTGAAATCATTGCCTCTTTGTCTTCACGCACATCAACTTGCATCAAGAGCAATTCGAGCTCTCAAAAGTACTCTTCGACGCTCCTCGATCCTTGTCGAATGCCCTGCAGCGCATCATAGAGGTCTCATTGAAAGTATCCCGGGACAAAGCGATCCCTCATCAGACCACGTAGCTCGTCCCACGTGGTTACAAGTGCTTGGTGATTTCATCTTCGACAGAGTTGGAGTTGTTACCACCACTGAGCTGCCTATTGTGAAAATTCGTAAGTTGTCATCGCCACTTTCTGCTGCTCGGTGGCCGCACTCAAAGAACATAATAATTTTTCTTTCCAATCAAGGTACGCTGTTGGGTTCAGGGTCCCCTGAAATTGCGGAACAGCGAGCTTGATTCCCAGAGGAATCATCAAATATGTTTCCGGCGGTCTTCCTCGATGCTCACGTCGTCGTCGTCCCTGCTTAGGATAGTCAACGATTAGCTGCTGCTCCGACTCCTCAACTCAGGCCAGCAATTCCCGATTAGCAGCTTCAGTTGCAACGAGACCATGCTCCCTTGTTTGGTCCTACAAATTCGCGGCCGGAGTTAGAGCATCGAGCCTCTGTCCTTGCTGCTCCAATTGGCGCTCAATTTTGTCAAACTAAGCTTGGAAAAGTGTCCTCAACTGCGCCGTAATAGTCTTTAGAAATTCCGTTGTATTAAACTATCCCGACATCATGATTACACCCCCCCCCTTGATTAGGCTCGTCAGAATCGACTCCTTCCTATGGATTCCGTCGAATGGAAGGGTCTTGAGAAACAGGTCCTTCCTATGGATTCTGTCGAATGGAAGGGTCTTGAGAAACAGGTCCTTCCAGAAACGCGTCATTCACACAACGTCGGCTTCCGTCCTATCCACTAAGGTGAACTGGGCTCTGATTACCACTTGATAACACCCAAACACGGTGTTGATTCCACAAACTGAACTTGGAAGCCAAGCTTAGCAACTCGTCCAAGAAACCAAGTCGCTAATGACAATTTTAAAACGAAAAGGGATGGAACTCTTGTGCAATCCTACACCTGGAGGAAGGCTCAAGGAGTATACATTGAAGCTCGCCCACTATCAAGGCGATATTGATCGATACAAGAGCAGATTCAAGCTTGGTTTTCTCGGACAAACTTTCAACCAAAAACTAGCTACGAGACTTAGTTTTTAGGGTTTTCAATTTTGTATTCAACTCAAGTGAGCTTTACAATACATTCGTAGGCCTTAAATAGAGGTTACAAACTTTCTAGAATGCAAAAGAATCCGAAAAAACAAGGTAAGCCAAAACAGTCCCAATCCTAAAACAATAAGGAAACTTAAAGTCAAGTAACAAACTGGTGTTGATGCCAACTTTGAGACCCTAGTTCTCCATCCTCTCGATTCCGATTGGATCACCCAACACCTTGTTTCTGTACTAGAAAATGCCAGCTTTCGTGTGAGCTAAACGTTGGAACCTGATTCCCAGCCGTTCATCATCTCCCGAGCTTCAAAGTGAGCTTCTCGCAACAGCTTCATGCCTTAGACAAATCCTGGAAGTTTGCCTGTGCTGCCATAGGGTTTTGTCGAGCTTGAAAACACCACTTACAAGCCTTTTCTCGAGGTCCCAGACATCCCCATTTGTTTCTCAACTTGCAAGGTTTAACCCAAACCTTTCCAATACAATTTTTATCATGCCAATCGCCTAAACCATGCTCGTAAAGAAGGCTATTGAATCAGTCTAATGACTTAGCCAAAATCCATGTTAGCAATCAACCAAGAATGATGGAAGAGGAATTTTGAGATCATATCACCAAGTATACAAAGGACTATTCGGCTAGGGTGATGAGCTAGCAGAAAACGTCGGGTTCTTCTTCCTGAATCGATTCCACGTTCAAGAAAGAAGAAGAAGAGAAGTTGTGTTTGAACAACCAATTCTAGGGTTTTTATTTTGAATAAAAAATTTTATTATCCTCTAAAAGACTTAGTTCATCCCCTTATATAGGCTACAAAGGTTTTGGGCCAAAAATAACAAAGAAACCCGACTTCTGGTGTAACAGTCACATAATCCGCAAAGGAAACAAAACACTGGTCGTCAGCAGTCGAGGGCGAAATACCCGACCTCCCCTCTCAAATACCTGATCGGGTATTTATTGTTCACAGCCGCGGAGGGGGGGGGGGGGTGTGTTTTGCCCGTGATACCTTGTCTCCTCCTCCAAAAACGGATCGGGTTTTCCTTCCTCTTGGCCGGGTATTCGACCCACACAAGCCCAAACTCCAATGATCATCACTTCTCGTCCCACGAACAACTCCAGCTACGTCAGGAATCTCTTGGCCAATTGGACTCTTCTCTTTTCCTTCTCGAGCCTCTAAAGCCTTCATCTTCATACCACGATAATTGTATGTTCTTCGAACTCGAGGGACGTCTTGTGAGGTGATCCGGGTTGCATCATTCCCTCCCTCTTCAAAAAGATTTATCCTCGAATCTTGTGGTTGCATATAGACTCCCTTGTACGACTCCATCACCCTCGAACTGGAACATGCACCTTGAATGCAAAGCTTCTCACGAACTCTTGAAGTCACCTCCTTTCTCTTATTCGAACTTTCATTTTTGGTACTTTATCCCATAACAAATTTGACGTGATCAGTAATCTCACCATAATCTAGAATCTGAATCGACTAGCCTCGAAGATGATCACCGTCATCTTCCATAATTATATCTTCCCTTCGGGCCATCATCAAAGTTCTGGTCGTCATTTTTGCTCCCTTCTCCCTCTTGTTCGACTCTCGTTCCTTCTCTCTACTCTGCTGTATTTGGAGTTGATCTTCATAGACCTCTTTGGGAGTCATTGGCACCAGAGTATGTGTTCTCCCCTTGCAAGACAGAGTTGACTTGTTAGTCTTCCCATCATGTTGGGCATCTCTGTCAAATTTTCATGGACGTCCCAATAGGATGTGAGCAACTTGAATACGTACACGTCACAAAGCACCTCATCATTGTATCTCCCAATCTTAAAGATCAGTAGCACCTGGCGTGTCACTTTAATGGATCCATCCTCGTTATGCCACTACAATGTGTATGAAAGCGGATGTTTGATGGTCTTCAATCCTTGCTTTTCCACCATGTGTGAGCTAACAATGTTGGTGCAGCTCCCTCCATCTATGATTATCGAGCACAGCTTCTCATTGACCAGAAAGCGAGTGTGGACCAAGTTTTCCCGCCGCTCGATCTCTTCACTTTGTAGCACGTTCAGAAGTCACCAAGCTACATAGATGTAGTATCCTTGTACTGGGCGCTCCTCCGCTTCGTCTTCCTCCTCTTCAGTCTAGACCTCTCCACCTTCATGCTCAGACTCGTACTCACCGTTCTCCCGTAAGATCATTGTACGCTTGTTTGGACATTGATTTGCCACATGACCTCGACCTTGGCACCTATAACACACAATAGAGCTCGAACGTGTGTTAGTAGTTGCCTTCTCTCCAGTATAGGTGGCAATCAGCTTGGGCACTAGCTTAGGGTCATTCTTCTTCACAAATAGAGCCAGAGTTTCACTCGAGGAACCACTTGTGGATGGTGTAATCATCCTTGCATAGCCTCCCTTCTGTTGCTTCTCAACCTTAGTAGCCATCTGCACCAAATCCTCAATCTCTAAGACCTGCCTGATCTCCCGGCTGAAACCATTGAGAAATGGAGACATTGTTGCTTCTCTATCTTCATTGACACGAGCTCGAATCATCAAAGTCTTCATCTCCTCAAAATAATTCTCCGCACTCTTTGCACATAGTGTCAACAAATGAAGAGCTTGATAAAGATCCTGTTGGTGGTGAACGGGTATGAATCTCCTCCTCATGGCTGTTTTCATTTGATGCCAAGTTGTGATGGGCTCTTCTCAACCTTCGTGCAGCACCCAGCTGGTCCCACCAAACAACAACGTATTCAGAAAACTCAAGAGCAACAATTTTTACCTTCTTCCTTTTGGAGTAGTCATGACACTCGAACAAGTACTCCATCTTTCTCTCCCAATCGAGGTAAGCTTCGGGATTACTTCTCCCTTGAAATGATGGCACCTTCACCTTCATCCCCTCATAACATCATTCCTATGTTTGGGGTACTCTTACTCCTCGTAGTAATCCTCATAGTCACGAGGATCAGGAGCTCTACGAGCTTGAACTAGTGGTCTCTCTTCTCGACCTCTACCTCCTCTACCTCGTAAAGGTCGGAGTGGGTCCTAGAGGTCAGCCTCGCCTTCCACCTTGTGGTGGTGGTGTTGGTGAAAGTTCTTCCTCCTCCTTCTCACCGTGGTAGAGGTTGAAAGCGGAAGCCATTTCGTCGAGGCAAGCATTAAGCTGATCCTGCTGGTCTTGCATCAACCGGGTAAGATGTACTACAACAGCATCAATGGTAGCTTGTGGAATGCCCTCCAAGTTCTGAACTTCTTGATCGTTGTGAATTTCTCCTTCTCCTGCCATTTAGTTCAGAAACTCCGTCAATGCTTTAAGTCTTAGTTTAGTGGTACAAACAAAGGACCTCACAAATCACTCTCTCATGTATTTCACTCATTTGCAGGTTACTCCTTTTCTTACCACTCGTGTTTCACTCAAAGCAATTGGCTTTTACCCGATAGTGAACTCACGAACACTCTTTCCACTCGCTCTTAGAAACCCTAACTAGTAGCAAGAACTTCTCTAGCAAGAAATGATGTTCACTAGAAGCCCGCGAATAACGATACTACAAGTGCTAACAAGAACTATCAAACTCCATAGAACCTTCTTGCGTGATCTCTAGTTCTAACCTTTTTTTTCTTTTGTTTACTTTTGTTTTTGTTTTTATATTTCCTAGAACGACTTTTTCCAAAAGATGCACGTTACAATCAAGAACAAAATTGAACACAAGAAATGAAAATTAACCTCTTGGCGGCTGTTAAGAGCACGAAACTTGATTTGACTAATTCTCGCACAAGAAAGAAGGATACGTGTGCCACTGTGTTGAACCACACTCTGATACCACCTAATATAAGTCGAGGCACTAAATCTTGGGCTTAAACAATCATAAACACAACAAAGATCGATTAGAAGCACAACGATCACAAAATGGATAATAACCCAAACCAAATCCATGAGTCCAGAAGAGGGCCATGTTTACGAATGACTATTCCGCTAGGGTGATGAGCTAGCAGAAAATGTCGGGTTCGTTTTGCTAAATCATCACTAGTAATTTTCATAAAGTGAAGATCGCTACGAGACCAAACCTTGAAGAGCTCCTTCAAATGTGTATTGAGGTTACTTGCATGGATGGCACGAGAAGAGTTGATCGTATGGTGTATCAATATTCAAACAGAGATGGCGGCTCGTTGTGGTATGAGGAATTTCTCATAACCACTCAGGAGGATGTAGATGTCATGGTCGACTTTTTGATCGCCAATAACATTAAACAAGTAGAGATGTTCGTTTACATCGATGTGGCCGAAGGCGGTGGCGGTCATTCTGGAGATGTCCAAACATCTGGTATCCACGGTGGAGACGGATTATACGAATATCATCCCTACCAAGGTTACCATGATTCTCATACCTACCATGAGTACCAGGAAGGAGGTGGAGGTTATCATCAATCCTTCCCATTATATGAGGAAGAAGCCCAAGGGTACCATGACAACCAACAAGAAGGCTACCAGTACCAACCCGAGTACAACTTCTACCAATGTTGTGATGAGTTGGCGGTCGATTTTTATCCCATTAAAGTGCCTAATCGAATCCAATCTTGCCCTTATTAGAAAGGGCAAGATGACGTCATTACATGGGAGCACATTGCTCGTACCCCTATAGCAGACTATATGGTATGCATCCTAGTGAAGAATTTAAGTTTCACCATAAGTTTATGATTTATAAATATATAAATCTATTATAACAAACAAGATCAATTAACAAGATCAAGGTTTTTTCCAATATATATACATAATTTCGGAAAACAAACATATTAAGTGTACTAAAATAATTAACTAAAATGAAAACAAT